CAGGGGCTAGGTGGCGCTCTCTTACTTGTGTAGGAATGTTAGAAAAATAAGCAAGTGTGTATTTGCTGACTGAGGCTATATGGCTTAATGGAAGACAAGGCTGGAAGTGACAATTCTAAATTATATGAAGAACTCTTGTATTAAGAAATCCAACAAGGCCGGGTGCGGTGGCTCACGCCTGTAATCCCAGCACTTTGGAAGGCCGAGGCAGGCGGATCACGAGGTCATGAGGTCGAGACCATCCTGGCTAACACGGCGAAACCCCATCTCTACTAAAAATACAAAAAATTAGCCGGGTGTGGTGGCGGGCGCGTGTAGTCCCAGCTGAGGGAGGAGAATGGCATGAACCCGGGAGGCGGAGCTTGCAGTGAGCCGAGATGGGGCCACTGCATTCCAGCCTGGGCGACAGAGCAAGACTCCGTCTCAAAAAAAAAAGAAAGGAAGAAATCCAACAAACTTAATAGCTGGACTAGAGTTCATTCCGGCCTAACACAGATTTTAAAATACGTATGCTTTAAGTATTCGGAGATAAATTAGGAAATGAGTTCCATTTTAAAAACCAACAAACATGAAATTAAGAATCAAAATAAAAACAGAGAACTGAAACAAAATCAGGTGGATGTGAAAAATAACCAAATAAAAACTATAGAAATGAAAATATTAAATAAGATGAAAAATGTAATAGATGGGGTAAACTCTAGACTAGATAGAGATGATGAGTAAATTAGCACTCCCCCACATTGCTGGTAGGAGTGTAACTTGCCACATCTACTGTGAAAAATGGTTTGCATTATCTACTCAAAGTGAAGACACATATAATCTATGGCCTAGAAATTCTACTCCTACAGAAAGGTGAATATATTTACATCAGGAGGCATATACAAAAATGTTCATAGCAGCATTTTTCATAATAGCCAAATACTGAACACCACTCGAATATCATCAACAGCTGAATAAATACTGAACTTCAATAATTTCATATAGCAATAAGAAGGAATGAAAAAAACAGCTATGTATAATACTGTGGATGAATCTCACAAATATAATGTTGACTGAAAGAAGCCAGATCAAAAAATATAAAAAAAATATATACTAAGTGACTGAGATACGCATGCACATGCTCTCTCTCTCCTCTTTTATATTTTTAATATATCAAATATTAAACACATGCAAAACTAAACTCTGGTGTTCAGGGCTGCACATTTAAGTGTTAGAACTACAAAGAAAAGCAAGGAAGTGATTATGATAAAAGTCAGGCTGATGTTTATCTCAGGGAGAGGGAGGAAGTTGTGATCAGGGGCAAATAGAGGTTCTTGGGATTGGCAGCGTTCTAGGAACAAGTTACATGAGACTTTACAGTAGTTTTTCGAGTTGTACATTGATATTTAATGCATTTTTCTGTATGTGTCTTATATTTCACAATACAAAAAAGGCTTTTATGTTTTGTCTTGTTTGTTTTAAAGAGAGAACTTGGAAATGGAAGGTAGATACTGAGAAACTCACCAGGGACGCAGCACAGAGAAACAAAGAGATTAAAAAAATATAAAAGGGCAGTTAAGAGACATGGATGATGGGTTGAAAGGTTCCAATATTCATCCAATAGCAATTCCAGAAGAGGATGGAGGTAATGGTAGAGGAGCAATATTTGAAGAGATAATTGCTGAGAACTTTCCAGATCTGAAGACAGACTTGGATCCAAGTACCTAACAGGATAAATAAAAATAAATCCAAACCCAGGCATATCATAGTAAAACTACAGAACATCAATGATAAAGAGATAATGTTAGAAACTCCTAGACAATAAACCAGATTATCTACAAATGAACCACATATTAACAGCAGAGGTCTCATCAGCATCGAAAATGGCCAGAAGGGATGTGGGAAAAACAATTATTATAGGCTTTTATACTAATCCTCAGAGTGAGGGCAAAATAAAGACGAACCTAAAAAGAATAGGCTTACTATCCCACACTATTACTAAAAGAAATATAGAAGGATGCCCCTTAGCAAAAAAAAAGAAGAAAAAAAAAAGTAGGTGGGAATAAAAAAGGTATGAGACGAAAGAAATGATACTGGACACAGAAAACTAAGAAAAATAAGTCAATAAATATGATTTATTGTGGACTGCAAAGTAAACAATAGTAATTATTGCATGTTGAACAAAATGGGGGAAATGAAAGCTTTAAACAAGATAACACGATTGGTGATGAAGGAGGTAGAATAAAATATTAGAGGTCCTCATCATGGTTAGGAGATTAAAAATATCAAACAATGACATACACGCTTAGAAAAATACATGGTTAAACAATGTCTTAAAAATCTAAGGGTATACACAAAAGAAAAAAAAATCACCAAAATAAAAACATAGAAATGCTTCTTATTCCTCCCAAATCAGCAGAGGAAGAATGAAAAAAGACTAAAAGACTGAAGATGGGTAGCTATAATCTCAGGTTTTAAAGAGCATAAAGACTAAAATGTTCCTATCTCCAACTTCTAAGCCTAACAACAGTCGATCAAATGAAAGACAATGTTATTAAATATATACTTTGTAAGCATTTACAAAAAAAGGAATTAGTATGACCAAGTGAAATTAGCATGAGTTTACTGATAAAAAGTCTTACCAATCTAGCATTATTCCCCACCCTTGTTTTTTGGTTTGGTTTAATTTAATTTTTTTAAATGTTTGTTAATTGTAAAAAAAAAAGGTAAGAAAACATAAAGAAAAAAATTCTAACTACACCGTTAACATTAGTATGTGTATGTGTGCTGTTGTTGTTGTTGCTGAGACTGCTAGGTTAGCAGATGAAGGAAAGGACATAAGCTAGATGCAGGGACAACAACACTGGGCTTGGTAGACTGGAGCCCAGAACTTCCAGACTTACAAGGAAGGAAATGGTACAGCAGGGTGGCCTAGGCATCAAGGTTTTGATGTCCAAGCATCTGGATGTGCATCCTGGATCTGCTACTTACTGTTGTCAAAAGTTACTTGGCCAAGGGAGTCCAATTTCACTTTTCTAATGTCAGTTTCCTCACGTGTAAAACATGGGGATAGGAGGGTGTAACTAAGTATATTGTCATATGATCTAGTGTCTCTCTCAGCTTTTACAATTCTAAGCATCTAAAAGCATTACATAAATTGAAACAAAATCATAAAACATATGCCTGTTAAATCTCTAGATGAGACAAAACTGAAAGAGTAACAGTAAAGAATGAAAACGAATTCAGACTATATAGGAATAGGCTAAAATCACTATTATGAAATTAAACAGAAAGAAACAAAGACCTGAATTTAGATTTAACAAAAAAAACTACACAAATACAGAACGAAGCAGACTTGGTTTGACAATGATTCATTTGAAAACAAGCTAGGTTTTTTAGCATATGCTCCCAGGGCCAATAATATGAAGGGGTTATTAGTCTAAATTAATGAACTCTCAGGCTAGAAAAGCAAAAGTAGTGCTTATGGTAGGAGAGGCACAAATCACCCTATTGATTGAGTACAGGTCAGATTAGATGTAGAATATTATATTCCATTCTGGACGACATGAATTGCAATGCACCCAATGAAGGGAGCTCAGAACTATAAAGCATCCATAAACCATGTGAGATCAAGGCATTGGGTCAGTTTACCCTGGAGGAGGAAGACCCAGAGAAACTGACTGCAGCCTCTAATGTTGGAATGCTTTTGACAACCAATGCATGTCCAATGCTAGAGGTGTTATTAAGAAGCAACTTTGGGTGCTGTCTTCAGATAGAAGCTGGATGGCTACTGGTAAAGGACTGGTAAAGGAGACAGGAGAAGGCTTTTCATATTGGGAGGGGAGTTAAGACCCGGTGACCCCTGTCCCTGAGGCCTGTCCCAGGTCTAAGGCACCTGTAATTCTAAAGCACTAATTGTCTCCTATGCAAGAAGAAAAAAGGCAGAATCATATTCTTCTTATCATATTATAGGTAACACTTATCAAGTGCATATTCTATGTGCCTATTGTTGTGCTATGCACTCTCCACAGATGGAAAGTGGAAAGGGAGAGGGCTTGTAGGATTTTAAGTTCTGAGAAGTGTTAAGATACCTTTAATATACAGACTAGGTTTTCACAAATGCTTCCATCCATAGAAAAGGAGCTGGGGGCAGATATTATAGTGTTTATGGGTTGGGGAAGGGAGAAAAATAGAAATAAACTAATATTCTTCATGTGCTAGGCATAATGACTAATAAAATGTTTTAACTCTAACTAGAAGTCTTTAACTTGTGACCAAATTATTATCAGACACTCCAAAAATGAGCCTCAATAAGTTTGCAGATCACGTGTATACTTGTGCATTATAAGATAGCCATTTCAAAATTAATTATATAGAAACGCTTATAAGAAATGTATCTGATTTTACAAAAAGAATACTATTTCTTTGACTTTATAAATAAACGTTTCTAACACAAACTTACCATATCCTACAGGCTTAGGCTGGCATATTCCTACTATAACATACAAACATGTTTGAAACAAATGTTTCCAGTGATAAGTGGCATAAATCTCCTCACTTTCTTTTCTATATCAAAATGTTACACAAAATTTATTTTTATGAGGAGACAAGTGAAAAGAGTTACTCTGCTTTTTTGTGCCGAGGGTTCTCTTTGGAACACTGGAGCATTTTATTTATAAAAATAAAGAATTTTCAAGATGAAAGAAATGTTAGCACGTTAATCAAATTAAACTTTAGAGATTGAAAAAAAAAAAACCTTACATTGTAGAGCTGTCAAGTAATATGCCTAAGGTGACACAATTAATTGGCATAAGAACTGAGGAACCAATCTAATCAAGGTCTCCTGTGAGTCCTGACACCCAGGTCAGTCTCAGGTTCCTTCAACTCAATCAAATGCCAAGAAAGCAGAACTTTTTGAGTCCTCTGTATTAAGATTTACCAGAAAAGTGTTAGAAAACACTGTAATTTTTATTAGCTTTGAATGTTTGTCATATTATCCATATTGATTAAAAAGAACTTACTTCCAAAGCATAATATACTGGTTTGTCTCTGCCAAGTTTGTAAGCCACTGTGGTGAGAAGGCCATGATCAGAAAATACACACTGTAGGAAAGAAAAAAAAAAAAAAGATTTCAGTAGTGGAAAATGAAAAGATAACATGAGAATATTTTTTTAAAGTTATAATAACATAGGTACAAAATAATGCAATCAATAAACCAATTTTAAAAAATAAATATAGTCAAAATGATCAGAATTAAGAACACATTTCAGCTGTATAAAAAGTTTATTCCTTGTTTCAAATTAGATTTGCATTAAGAATTTGATGAGGTCTCAGTCTAGATTTCCCACCAACACAATTAAAAACACACATATAAAATTCAAAAAGCCTAAAATGGTTCTTATTAGAACCATTCAAATTTTGTATTGAGCTCTAAATTAAACCCTGATAAAGATTAAGTAAAAGCTAAAGACTAAAAGTAATTTAATAGCAAATTATGTTCAAGCATTATTTATATGAACTTAAAGACTTTTATCAATTTTTTAATTTAAAGAACCAACCTTATGGCCTGTATTACATAGTAAGAAACATCCTGTTCCATACCTAGAGTTGAAGGGAGAATGAATAGTAAGACAATTTTATTGAAAGCAAATAATGAAACATTAATAATACAAATGATCAAAACTGACATATAATTTAGTCCAAAAAAGTCATTATATTATAGTTTTATAAAAGTTCCTAAAGTTAACAAAAATCATATATCTTCATGGAATGTTTTAGAAATCAGCCTAGAAGAAAATGTACTTAGAGCAATCTTTTTTTTTTTTTGAGATGGAGTCTCGCTCTGTTGCCCAGGCTGGAGTGCAGTTGCACAATCTTGGCTCATTGCAACCTCCGCCTCCCAAGTTCAAGCGGTTCTCCTGCCTCAGCCTCCCAAGCAGCTGGGACTACAGGCATGTGTCATCACGCCCAGTTAATTTTTTCTATTTTTAGTAGAGACGGGGTTTTACCGTGTTAGTCACAATGGTCTTGATCTCCTGATCTCGTGATCCACCCCCCTCGGCCTCCCAAAGTGCTGGGATTACAGATGTAAGCCACTGTGCCTGGCCAGTGCAATCTTAATAGAAAAATGCAGATATAGTATTTAGTGTTTAGTCAGTCCTAGGCCAGGGCTGTGTTTATAAAATACCATTGAATTACAATAAATTCTAAGTTCTGTCATAGTATGTTACTACTAATCCATGTGGAGTGAAGCATCATAACTGACAGCCAGCTTAGCTCTATCATTAATACAGTCATAAACCGAGAAACACCACTATCTTCAGGCAGCGTAGGGAGGCTGGATACAGAGTGTGGGAGGGTGTAGTTGGAAAGCTAGGACAAGAGTGACATGGAAGGGAAGGCAATCTAAGGTCTACCTTTGATAATCAGAGCCAGAATGTAACATGGCTGTTACAGAAGAACTAAATTTATTTTGTGGCAGCCTTATCAATATAAACTTTGGACTCTGCAGCAAGTCTGGCCCTTGGACATTAATAGGTAGTTTTGACTTGTGCCAGGCAGATAAGTGGCCCAAAGTGATACCAATAAGAGTCACAGAGGAACAGTTAAGCTGAGTTGGGGTAACAAGGTTGCTACAGTCACCCTTGCTTAGCTCTGCCCAAGCTGGGCATTCCCTCCCCGTGGGCCTTGCTGCTATGCCCTGCACCACCAGGGTTCTGACTGTGTTGGTGACATTCCAGCAATTGAAAGATGGGACAGCACTCAGTCCAGGAGCTGGCAGAAGGATCCCAGAAGAAGCTACTACCAGTCAGCACTAATTCAAAAGATCCCGTCAGCTGCATTTTGATTGTGCAACAAACACAAAACCAAGGGAAATTGTTTTCTGACATTTTTCCAGGTACCATTGTTCCGAATAAGGATTAGCCTAGGATAGTCTATATCCTCTCATCCAAATACATTCTTGGCCTGCTTCATGAGCAGGTGACAAATTCAAGGAGCATGGGACTGATATCTAATTTTGTAAAGACACTTGTCAAATAACACTAGGTACAGGTAACACATTTACAAACTAAAACACAAAATCACTATACCGTTTTATTGCCACACACTGAAAAAGCTATATATTTCAAGTTAATCTACTGTGATAAATACTCATAAAAATGGAGGTTAATTATCTATTTCATGCTTTTTAAAGGAGAACTCTGTACCAATTTAGCATCCATATAAACACTATACTGAACAGTTGCATATGTGTCTTAGTGCAAAATTGATGAGAAGACTCAAGGCACTTAATAAAAGTGAATTCTTAAGTGAGTATACTTAATAAGCAATTAATGAGTATTAGCAAATATGAAGAGACTTCCTTGCTATATTTAGGCCACAGCTTTTAAAGCAGTACACATGCAAGTATTTTCCTCTTAAATTTTATTGTTCTTTCTTCCCAGTCATCAAGCACATATGGAGCTTTCAGCATTTACGTGATCTACCTCGCCTTCTTCACTGTACATTGTACTCACAGAACACTGTACTTTGTTCAAACATCCCAGAAAGATGTCTCACTTTTCCAGCTTCTGCAAAGGTAAAGGTTGCTTGCTCTCCTTCATGACTATCAGATCAGGACTGAGCAGCCCAAAGAGGTGTGACAAAGATGGCACACAGGGGCAAGGGGTTGACCCTGGAGGAAGCTATGAGGGAGGTAAAAACTTTGTCACACTCAATCACCACTCCTGGATAAATGAGACAGCTATCTTAGGTGCTCTTTCAGAAAAATAAAATTTAATGTTCAAATAATCAATTTTTTTAACATTCTAGAAAAATCGGAAAATACAGCTAAGCTGAAAGAAAAATTAGAATCATCCATAATTTCTTCCCCCACTCTGAAACAGAGATGGGCTTTTCATTGAATTCTGAGTGGACTGTCATTTTCTCTCCACTGAGGTTGGGAGAAATTAACTAAATTTTCAATCCCAGTCTCTCTAACCTCTTATTTGGTCTTGCCCATCACTTATACCCCATTTATTTTACAACTTTCATCTGTTCTCTGCTCAGACTCCAAAGAAACATTCTCTGATCTTACCATAACTTACAAAGAAAATCAAACAAAATTCCCAAAATGTTACATAATCCTGTTAACCTCACAAACTATGTCCTTCTCTCACCATTCCTAGATGGTTGTATTTTTGCAAAGCACATATCTTCGATTTCCTACCTGCTTACATCTCTTTTGACCATTTGCAATCTGGCTTCTATCTTGAGCATTCTAGTAAAACTTCACTCTTGAAAGTCACCAAATGGCCAGGCATGGTGGCTCACACCTGTAATCCCAGCACTTTGGGAGGCCAAGGTGGGCAGATCACAAGGTCAAGAGATCAAGACCATCCTGGCCAACATGGTGAAACCCCGTCTCTATTAAAAATACAAAAATTAGCTGGGTGTAGTGACGTGCACCTGTAGTCCTAGCTACTTGGGAGGCTGAGGCAGGAGAATCACTTGAACCTGGGAGGCCGAAGTTGCAGTGAGCCGAGATCACGCCACTGCACTCCAGCCTGGTGACAGAGCGAGACTCCATCTCAAAAAAAAAAAAAGTCACCAAATGAAGACCTAATTTGTATGTATAATGGTCCATTCTTGGTACTCAGCCTCTATGACCTCTTAATAATGTTTTGTGCTACTGACCATGCCTCCCTCATAAATATCTCCACCCTGGATTTCCACACTAATGAATAACTTCAGGCTAGGTGCAGTGGCTCATGCCTATAATCCCAGTAGTTTGGAAGGCTGAGGCAGGAGGATTGCTTGAGCCCAGGAAGTTGACACAACGTAGGCAATATAGTAAGACCCCATCTCTACAAAAAATTTAAAAATTAGCTAAGTGTGGTGGCATACACCTGTAGTACCAGCTACTCAGGAGGCTGAGGGGGAGAGGATTACTTGAGCCCAGGAGGTCAAGCCTGCAGTACGCTGAGATCTCACTATTGCACTCCAGCCTAGGTGACAGAGTGAGACCCTATCTTATATATATATATAAAAGATATATATATAATTTATAATCTATATATAATCTATATATAGATATCTATATATATCTATAGATAGATAGATAGATATCTATATATATCTAGATATATATAAAACAAAGATAGATATAACAAAGATAGATATAGCTATAACAAAGATAGATATAGATATATATAACAAAAAATGAATAACTGCATTGTTTTTCTGACTTCTCTATCCCGGTGCCTGCTACTTCTACTTACGTAAATATCTTCTCTACTTGTGTATTTTTTCTTGGTAATTTCTTCTACTTCTACTGCTTCAAAATCCCCTCTATCTAGGGAAATAGGGAAATTCCAAATTTTCCATCTTTTTTTTTTGAGGCAGTCTCACTTTGTCACCCAGGTTGGAATGCAGTGATGCAATCTCAGCTCACAGCAGCCCCTGCCTCCCAGGTTCAAGCAATTCTCATGCCTCAGCCTTCTGAGTAGCTGGGATTACAAGCACTTGCCACCACACCCAGCTAATTTTTGTATTTTTAGTAGAGACGGGGTTCTGCCATGATGGCCAGTCTGGTCTCAAACTCCTCACCTCAAGTGATCCACCTGCCTTGGCCTCCCAAAGTGCTGGAATTACAGGTATGAGCCACTGCGCCTAGCCAAAAATTTCTATTTCTATACAGAACTTATTCCACATTTCCAAATGTGTGCAACATACAGTGTGCCAGCACCACAAACATGCTCTGAACAGAAATTCTTCTACTCAGACCCTTTCCACTTTGGCTAAGCCTAACCACAGGGTCCACGTACCTAGATGACATACCTAATTCCCCTCCCTTTCTCCTCTACAGTGCCATGCACATTCACTCATGGCCTCCCTCTGTCTCCATCCTTCTGAGCCCACGTGCTCATTACCAGGACACTATAGTGGCTTCCTCCATGGCGTCTTGGCCTCTAGTCTTTCCTCACTTTCACCCAAGACTGCTACTGACAACTCCAGTCATCTCTGAACACCAGCTCATAAGCCTTCAAAAGTTTCCTACTGCCTATCAAGAAAAGCTCCTTAGCCTGAAATATCAGGCTTCACAACATGATCCTAGCTTTATATTTTTTGTCACTTCCCTACTCTAATGTTCTCTATATTCTCTAAACAAAGTCTTCTATTTCCCCATACGTATCTTTGTTCCATGTTCCCTGTACCCTTCAATACTGCTCATTTTTCAAAGCATCTCATTACTAAGATAATCTTTTGTAATTTTTATTTCCTCCCATTGAAACCCAACAGCTTTGCTTCAAAGTTTCTCATGGCACATAAGTTCTGATTTATACATGATTAACTGCATATTTGTGTTCTTTTCCCTCAGGGAGATAAATATGAGATCAAAGATCTTATAATTTGTTATTTCCCTCTTCCAATCTGTAGTAGCTGCAGAGGTACTCAAACAAGTCCTCCCTAACTTAAATTCATCACTTAAGGACTTGGCTGATAATGCTAGCGGGGAGGGGAGTGAAGAGAAGAGGAAAAGCAGGCTACTGTATTGGGTACCTACCATATGCTACATACAGTCATCCCTTGGTATCTGGGGCGGACGGCATTGATTGGTTCCAGGGTCCCCTACCACCCCAACAGATACTAAAATCCAAGGATGTTCAAGTACTGTGGATAAAATTGTGTCTATTTGCATGTAACCTACATACATCCTTCTCTTGCATGTTTTAAATCATTTCTAGATTATTTATAATACCTAACACAATGTAAATGCTGTGTAAATAGTTGTTATACTGTATTTTAAAATTTGTAATTTTCTGTTGTATTGTTATTTTTTATGGGTTTTTTTCCTGAATATTTTTAATCCACAGATATGGAACCTGCAGATACAGAGGGCTGATTGTACCATGCTAGGCACCTAAAATATAGATAACATTTGATTTACTAGCAATAGTGTTCCTGGCAGAGGAGGAAAGAAAGAGAAAAATAACCTAGTTTTCTTTCTTTTTTTTTTTTTTTTTGAGACGGAGTCTGGCTCTGTCGCCCGGGCTGGAGTGCAGTGGCCGGATCTCAGCTCACTGCAAGCTCCGCCCCCCGGGTTTACGCCATTCTCCTGCCTCAGCCTCCCGAGTAGCTGGGACTACAGGCGCCCGCCACCTCGCCCGGCTAGTTTTTTGTATTTTTAGTAGAGACGAGGTTTCACCGTGTTAGCCAGGATGGTCTCGATCTCCTGACCTCGTGATCCGCCCGTCTCGGCCTCCCAAAGTGCTGGGATTACAGGCTTGAGCCACCGCGCCGGGCCAAAATAACCTAGTTTTCTACTTTATTTCTCTTGACTCTTGATTCAGCTGCCTGGAACCCAGATTCCAAGAATGTTTCCAGACTCAGGCTGACTCAAATGCTCTTGGTCATGTAATCTCAGATTACCATGACCTGCAAAGAATTCCCACATCCCTCCTCCTCAAAAACTTCTCACACAGGCCGGGCGCGGTGGCTCAAGCCTGTAATCCCAGCACTTTGGGAGGCTGAGACGGGCGGATCACGAGGTCAGGAGATCGAGACCATCCTGGCTAACACAGTGAAACCCCATCTCTACTAAAAAAAATACGAAAAACTAGCCAGGCGTGGTGGTGGGCGCCTGTAGTCCCAGCTACTCGGGAGGCTGAGGCAGGAGAATGGCGTAAACCCGGGAGGCGGAGCTTGCAGTGAGCCGAGATCGCGCCACTACACTCCAGCCTGGGCGACAGAGCCAGACTCCGTCTCAACAACAACAAAAAAATTCTCACACAAATAATGTCACACTCTTGCATGAGAACCGCTGACCCTGCTAGATTACAAGAACGTTTAATCTAGAAATGTTACATATTCCATTATTCACAAAGGAAGAACTTAACCACTGAAGTTAAAATCGATGAGATAATTAGGAAATCCTCAAGAAGAGAACAATTAAATGTAGCCTCTTGCCAGTCGTATAGAAATCTTTTCCATACAGGAGGTAGTATAGTACACAGGTTAAGAACCCTGGCTAAGGAATGAGATGGATCTGGGTGCAAATATTACATCTCCCACTTACTGGTTGTATGCTGTTGCATAAATTATTTTCTTTAATTATCAGTTTCCTGATGTATAAAATGGGAATAATAGGATCTATATGTGGATTAAATGATATCATGTGTTTAAAGCACATGAAACATTATAGGTAACACAATAGCCATTGGCTGAGCTTGTGTTATAATTGTCACTATCATTTCAGCTTTTGAGGCATATTCATTTTTGTTCATGAATACATATACTTGGCAGGTAGCTTTTTTAATATTTAAAAGATTACGTTGGCCAGGAGCGGTGGCTCATACCTGTAATCCCAGCACTTTGAGCCACGCCTTCTGAGTCTGAAGCTGGCACTTTCTTTCTGTTCCACCAATCACTATACTTATTTGAAGGTAATATTATTTATTTATTTATTTATTTTTATTTTTATTTTCTTGAGACAGAGTTTCGCTCTTGTTGCCCAGGCTGAAGTACAATAGCGTGATCTCGGCTCACTGCAACCTCCACCTCCCGAGTTCAAGCGATTCTCCTGCCTCAGCCTCCTGAGTAGCTGGGATTACAGGCATGTGCCACCACGCCCGGCTAATTTTGTACTTTTAGTAGAGACGGGGTTTCTCCATGTTGGTCAGGCTGGTCTTGAACTCCCGACATCAGGTGATCCACCTGCCTTGGCTACCCAAAGTGCTGGGATTACAGGCGTGAGCCACCGTGCCCGGCCTACAAATTAAGGTCTTTATAAGATCCATATTCCTTATTCAAAGCACCAAGTAGAAAAAACAAAACAGTACTGGTTTTTAAGTCTGTTTCTTAAACTCACGTATTTTTGGCTTGTCCAATCTGGAAGCACATTTGTCCCACCAATGCAGCAGACTGGTCCCCTAAACACTGAAAGTACAAATGACAATAAAGAACACTGACTAATACAATAGTATTAATTTCCTTTTTAGAAGAGCCATAGGATTTATTTTTCATTTTTTATTTATCAAAGAATGAACTGTCTACATTACTTTGAATTTTCTCCATTTGGCCATTTTCCCCATTTGGTAATACCATTTGTTAATATATAAGAGAATAGGTATGGGAAGGGAGAGTTAAAATTAATTTATTCAAAAGATTCTCAATGGCCTACAGTATGTCACATAAGAACAAGAATTAGCCAATTTTGTGACTTTCACTTGTTTTCCCTAGTTTAAAAAGGGGCAGACTGATGAACTAAGAGGAGGAAAGCCTTGACATGGAAAAGGGTGGGGATGGGAAGATACTTGGTGATGAAACTTACCCCAGATATTGGCACACCTTCCAAGGCCCCAGCTTTCTAATAAAATTTAAAAAAAGGATTATGAATAGTCACAAAATTTGGGCTCTACTAACATAACTGCAACAAGAGTGAACACAAGTAGCAATGTGCCAGAGGATGTGGGCAGACAAGACAAAGAAAGCATTTCAACTAAATGAATGATACAGAGACAGATACTACAAGTATTCCTAGAATGACAGGAAGAGATGTGGCACTGGAGAATGAACATAAAACATTAGACGGGGAGCCAGTAAATGAGGGCTCTACTCTTGGTTAGTTAGTTAGTATTAATCCACTAGCAGGCTGCTGAAACCTCTCAATACATCACATTATTTCTCTACAAAATGGAGATTGGGCTACGTGGTTGCTCAAGTTCATTAGTGCTTTGCTATTATTGCCATTATTAAGAAATGAAATGACTAATATATTCTTGCAATAGCCATCAAACCAGTATGAAACATATTTATTTTGCAAGGCCATATTTTAGCAACTTTTCTTTCTACTCAAGCTGCTCTAAACACAAGAGTGTTCAGGTATTGGATATTATTTGTTCATAGCAAACATCTTTCTTCAAATTTAGATAAGCAACAGTTAATTTATGTCACAAATACTGGTTTTTATTTTGATCATGATGGCCAGCATTCTAGGAAGAAAAATGAGATTTAAGTGGCTGACTGTAGACTTTACAACCTTAATTTTAAAAAAAGACATACTAACTTAAGGCAATATTTAATGATATTAAGGAATTAGGAGAACTAAGAAATAGAATCCCTGGCCGGGCACTGTGTCTCATGCCTGTAATCCCAACACTTTGGGAGGCCGAGGTGGGAGGATCACCTCAGGTCAGGAGTTCAAGACCAGCCTGGCCAACATGGTAAAACCCTATCTCCACAAAAATACCAAAATTAGCCATGCATAATGGCAGGTGCCTGTAATCCCAGCTACTCAAGAGGCTGAGGTGGGAGAATCACTTGAACCCAGGAGGCAGAGGTTGCAGTGAGCCAAGATTGTGCCATTGCACTCCAGTCTGGGTGATAGAGTGAGC